AAGTTTTGGAGATAAGCAGGCTTGTAATTTAAAAGTGAGAATGACAACAACTCAGAAAAATTGTAAACCTGCTTGCCATTACWATTTTAATCACTGATATATTTTCTCACGTTGGCCTGATTTTGCTTGTTTAAATTTTCTGAACTAATTTTACATTGCCCAATTTTTCTTTGTGAAAGGCTTATATGTAAAGAACAACTGTTTTCCAGACATTAAGGCTGAATTCTTATTGCATAATTTTAATAATTCCATAATTCCTGCCAACCTGCCCACATAAATGAATGAAAGCTGATTCTGTGTCAGTGTTGATTGCTTTAAGACAGTGATAGTTTTTTGTGGGTTATGAACTTCAAGCCTGAATAAAGCATAATTTTATTGATGCTATTTTTACTATAAATTTGACGAATTCTTCTGTATTTTCAGAATATATGAAGTGTTGTTGTACAAAAGTGAATGCAGTGGGCCTTTAAGCACATATGTCTGGACAGAAGCTTTGCAAGCCTTTTGAAGTCTTAGAGAAAAGAGGCATTTACTGTCAAACACTGACACTTGGTTGTCATCATCCCCAGGTCCCAAAAGTATGATCTCTTGAGTCCCCAGTTCTCGTGATGCACAAAAGCTACTGATGGATGAGCTGTTTATTGGAAGTGTCTTTGCATGCACTGGCAAGTTAATGAGGGCAGCAATGATATTTTAAATCCTACTGTGAAGAATTCCAGCCCAATATAAATTCCTGTTATAAGCAGTTTAGTTTTAAGACATCAGAATAGAATTTGCACTTGTTCATCTTCTGCACATGTGTAAACAAGAGAATACTGACTAGAATACAAGTACATTAGATTAAGGACCTTAACAATTATATTAATATATTATTTTTAAAAGTAATGTTTATAGCAAAATATCTGTGGAAGATTATAATTTAATTTTTATTTATTCCTATGCATCTCATGAAAGTGGAAAGAAGTGATGTTTTACAACTTCTATAAATGTTGAGTTCTCTACTAAGGAGACTAGTTATAAACTCATTATAGTGTGTTGTAGTGACTACTGAGCAGTGTTTTTGTTACTGTTCTACACAGCTAGTTTTGAGAGCTTGATGTAATCCTGATTAAGCAAAGAAGCTCCAAATCAGATTATACATCTGGTGGCAATTAGATGGAACAGTTACCACCCGGGAACATAGTATTTCCATTGGAAAAAGGAAAAAAAAATCCCACTTTCCATGATATAACTAAGATACAGCTAAACATAATCCTCCTGTCTCTTCCTGAACTGTACTCACACACATTAATAATCACTGTCCTTTTTCCAACATGTAGAAATAAAGAATGCCTCTGTGAATGACAAAACTTCAGACTGTCACATTTTACTAACTCTTGTTAAAGAAACTGTGGAACAATTTTAATTGTTTTACGTGACTGGAGAAAAATATAAGAGAGTCAAAGCAATACAGGAGAGCACAAAGAGGATCAACTTGAGGCAAYGAATGAACAAAAGCAAGAATTAGGGGTAGCTAATAATTAGAGATAGTTAATAAATAGTCTCAGAAGGTGAGTGGTAGAAGCTCCATTTTAGCATATTAAAAAAATCTTATCACTAAATAATTTAGTCTGGATCAGAAACCTACTCTGACAAGAAGGTAGATTAGATAACCTATGGTACCCATCCACATTTTTGTTTTATGTAGTTATCTGAGTTTCTTGAGCAATCTAAGTAAATAGAAAATTATAYAAATGAAATATTTAAAAGGTAAATAATATTTTARCATCATATAAGAGGACTTGCTGGATGAGATGTTAGACATTCTGCTCTGAACAGTGGCTGCCTGTGGTGAGCCTGGTGATTCACATTAGCTGAGATTAAGTAAAGGGATTATGATGTTTTTTCTGGCTGAGCATACTTGGAATAAGACTAAGGACATTGTTTCATACGACATAGGCAACCACATGTACAATTTATAATTCTCTGAAAGCAAGCAATACTCTCTTTTATTTACACAGGACTGWGGGTGAGTATGATAAAATTATATGCAATGCTTACCAGCTCTATGGTATTGAAGGTATTCTTCTGTAATTAGAACAAAGTGTTCCACTTAATGTCTTCATAGAATTTAGCTTTGTGCGTAAACTTTGCGTGAGTGGTTTTGTTTGTGAGAATTCAGGGAAAAGGATTAAGTTCTGATTTCTGTTTGATTTTCTTGGAGAATAAATTTCACAACATTTTAGTTAACAAAATGTTTTAATAGACATCCTGTTTCATGTCATATCAGCTATTTCTGAATTGTAGAATATTATCATTTAAATGTGAAAATTTATAGCATGTTTATGATGAAATTAAGCTATTACAATGTGGTGGCCTGTAGTACGAGAAAGTAACTTCTACAAGAAGTTGATTGCTCATTGTTGAAATGTTTTCTATYTGTAAAATATAATTATGGAGTATCTGAAATATGCATGAGCAATTTTTGCTATAAAARTTAATGCTAGAAACATGGTGTGCCAAGTAACAGTCGTTATCCATTTTGCTAAGGAAAACTATTTTTTTTTAGTTTTGTAAATTCAAATTATTTCGTGTTTACACTGAAAATAGTCTATTTTCTTTCTTGATATGTATATACTCTCTTTATCATGGATTTCAGTACTTCCACAGAGTCAAGACTAAGTCTAATAATTATCTTTATATAAAATATATTGTATTTCTCTTCCGAATATTGATGCTTATATAACTGAATGTTTTACACAAGCACAAATATCTAGAACAGCTTCTGAGAGGCTAATTCCAAAGTGATTAATGTCAGTGGTCTCATGAGAAAATCCACCTGTTTTATCTCTTGTAAGAGTGAATAATCAAATCATACAGTTAGATGAAATTCCACCCCTTTTTCACAGTGTTAGAAGTACAGCAGAGAGTAGCTGAGGAACTGTGTCTGTTCATTTCTGTCTCTGGCCATTGTGGRCARTWTYMYTTTTCCCACWAAAATCCTGGACTGGACTCTCAAACTCCAGTCTTGGCCAGTTAAAATGGAGTAACTCAACGTTCAGTTGATTCAAGAACTTATTTTCTGTCATTGCTGTTTTCATTAGACTAGAACATTTGCTCTGCAAAGAGAGTAGAAAAGTTGTGTTAAAGCTAGCAACAAAAATGTCCTCATAGATTTCCTCCAGGAATATCCAGCCAAGCAGAATGATGCATGAAATATAAAATGTCCAGTTCAAATTGTGTCCCTAGTCTTAACTCACCTGTCARCCTCTCAGTATATAAGTACAGTGAAAATTTACTCAGCTAATGTAAGTTGTATCAAAACAGATGAACAACTATAGCTCTTAGTGGTTTCAGTTGAAGTAGAGCTCCTACCTCCTACACAAAGTAAGCCATTTCATTAGCTATCATGGACTGGTTGTATAAGTTGCTGCAGCCAGCCTTGAAAATTTCTACTTACATACTCCTTAATGATTCTTTTTTTCTTTTTAATTTTCTAGATTTTAAAAAAAAATTATTAAGTTTAAATGGAATTGTGATTATCTAAATCAGACTTGGAGTACATCATTCTAGTGCAGACTCATTTGGCTAGTTTTTAGTTTTAACATTTAGATGAATATTTTTTACAGCATAAATTATGTCTTAGAAGGAGACATTTCTTCCTGTGTTCTGACCAGTGTTCAAAATAGTTAATTCCTAGTGAAGGCAAAATACCTGAGCTGAAGCAGCGCATTATTGGAAAAGCTGTAAGAACATAGTAAGATAAAATCTTATCAAATCTGACTTTATTTGAACGTTCACTATCTTGAAACATAACATTTTCTTATCAGTTTCAACATTTATAGATGTAGTATAAAAATAATCACAATACTCTTTTCCATAGCTTCATTAAGAACAACATATAGTAGTCAGAGATTGTTCCATTACTCAATGTGGCTGCCATGTCAAGGGGACATAATCAAAGAATTTAATTTCTATTATTTTGATGACAAATGTTCCCTGAAACTGCTACACAGTTTTCAGTAAAACTGCCCTAAAACTGTTTCCTTTAGGATGATTAGTTGACAGTTTTTACCCTATGTTCCAGTCAAAGGAAGCCAATCATTAAGATAAAGTTATTTTAGTCACTTCAGGGTTGACATTAGAGTATCTATGTTTAGACTGGATTAAAATGGAAAGACTGTAGTAGGGATACTCTGTTTACAAGCATGAATACTATCAATATGGTTGTCAGAAAGAATTTGTTTTTTAGAATGCCAGTATTTAAAAGTTTTCATTTCAAGGCTACTTCTTCTGAAGAATACCTGAAATTTTTGTGTCTTTTTAGGGGACCTAAAGACTCTTGTTTTACTACAAATGCCTTACTTTGTCGGTAGTTTTTTTTCTCAGTGTAAATGTGAGTGGTAGATCTGTATTGTGAGATAAAAAACTTAGAAAAGCAAATGTCAATTTATGACACACTGACAGGTGTGTTAGGCCTTACTGTGGTATAGTTTACAATGCAGTAAATCAGGAGACTTTTCTCTGACTCCAATGGTTTTGTCTTGGTGTGAAACTAGGACGTAAAATCAGAATGAATTGCACTCTTTCAGTTTAGYTATTTAGGACTGAAAAAAGCTCATACCAAAGCACAAATTGCTCCCTCCTAATAAGGACTTTTCCAAAATCTTATATGTGAAATGTCATTAGCTTCATCCTCAAGAAAGGATGGACTGACAGACCACCTCTTTCTATGAAAAAGATCTCTTGTACCAAAATGATAAGAGATTTGAAATTACATTKGAGAGTTTTGGGAATATTTGCAAACAGAGGTATGCGAACTTAATGTGACAGTATTGGAGTCTTTGTGGAATTTAGTGATAACAGCTTGAATCCATTTAAATCCAATGATTTTTGTCACATCACACTGGTGTTGGTTTCTTATAAATCCTTTCTGCACCTTTCAAAATGAAGATCGTATTTTTACTGGTCATGGGAAAAGTTCTACATCCATCTCCTCTTTCTTCCAGATTGCTGTCAAAATGASTGAAACACCTTCAAGCAGTTATTCTGTGAATCATCCAAACTCCTCTGAGAGTGAACAGAGTTTGTCCATGCGCCATTTCAATGTTACAGAACCGGTTGTGGCAAAAAGGATTTGTTTCTATAAAAGCGGAGATCCCCAGTTTAATGGGATCAAAATGGTAGTTAATAACAAGTCTTACAAAACATTTGACGCCTTGCTGGATAGTTTATCCAAACGCGTCCCTTTGCCTTTTGGAGTAAGGAATATTAGTACACCCAGAGGGAGACACAGCATCACCAATTTGGAGGATCTCGAAGATGGAAAATCCTACATTTGCTCCCATCAGAGRAAAATGAAGCCCATCAACCTGGAGCAGGCCAGCAAAAAGCCACTGCCCTGGCAGATCAGCAGGCCTGTCAGCGCTCGTCGTCGAGCTGTGCAATTAGCAAGGCAGAATGGAGATGGGTTTGGCCATCGAGAAAGCAGGATAACAACTCCCAAAAAGATGCTTGTTTTCAAAAAYGGGGATGTAAGACTTAGGCGCACCATAGTTTTGGGAAAGAAAAATACACRAACATTTGAGGCCTTTCTGGATTATATGAGTGAGTTAATGCAATACCCAGTTGCGAAACTCTACACCACCGATGGCAGAAAGGTGAGAATAATGAGTATTAACAGATTTTTAATGTAGATTATTTTAACTTAAACCAAARTTGTATCCATTATGAGCTTGAAACATGGTCTTGTTGTAAGATCTGATGTGATAAATTTCATCTGTTTACTTTCTATGCTTTTTGCCCCTTCAGAAGGGCTACTAGCTTAGAGGAAATATACTAGAATATTGGGAACTGAGAGTCTCTAGCTCTCGGTTTAAGTGAGGAAACACTTTTATTTTTCTTACTTAAGTCTCTTCCAGGCATGCTCCCAATTCTATACTTTTACCCATTTACACAAAAACTTCTTTCAGTCTTAATGTTGTTTATCTGGGATTTTTAACATTTTAAAACATGATAAGGAGCACGTAATGACTGCACATAATTTTTTATCATTGCACAGAATGGTTTGCCCTTAATGACTCAGACTACTGAGAGCTGATTACATATTACAGTTTTCAAACCATGGCCCAGGTTCTGCACCTCTAAACTCAGATGGTGCAGCACTAATAATCCAGATTTGAATCTTGCATGTTGTTTTTATAATTTTATCTCAGTGTTTTTTCGGTCTGTTGTTTAACCACAGAAAAATTTATGGTTACACTTAGCGGGTATCTAGTAAGATAATTCCATGAATAACTACAAGATTCCAAGGGAAATCTCCTGTTAGCCCTCCACCTGAAATTGTGTTAGCCCTCCAGTTGAGATTGTGTATTAGGATGGGAAACCACCCAGATTACCTACAAGTTAGTGAAGTGCAGTTTGTAAGCATTATCTTGCAATATATTTCGGAACATTCATTCAAAACTGTCAGACAAGAATACGAGCACCTTGATCCAGTCAGATCTGCTTGGAGTAGAAGKTTGGACTACATGACCTCCAGAGGCCTTTTCCAAAGTGCAATTCTCTGTGATTGTGTCCTATTTCTTTATGGAAGTATGAGTCARCTGCTTGTGGTATATTCTGAATTTTTCCTCCAAGTGTGTCTTCATGTGTATACCCACCTCTGAATGAATATTCATATTTCATGACTATGAACAGTCACTGTGCAACAATGAAACAAAATTACATATGCAAACACTTAAATTGTAAGAAAGTTTTGATCTGAATCCAAGTTGCTTTTTGAAGTAATTATCCAATATATTTATATAACAAGATATATCCTCACAGAAATAGGAATTGCCTTATAGGAATTGAAAAATTAATTCCGTGCTGTGATACATATTTAATAGTCTACTGCAAATGAATGTAGAGACTAAGAAGTGAAGATATTAAAGCTTGAAAGGGATAAATCTCTTACATTATTTTTTGGTGGTTGCTAAGGCAGAAAATTTAATGTTGCTTTTTTTTTTTTTTTCCAGGTTCCTAATCTTCAGGCCCTGGTATTGTGCTCTGGAGCTGTAGTCGCAGCGGGGAGAGAGCCTTTCAAACCAAGCAATTATGAATCTCTTGGGTATTTGCGGCCTGCTAAATTGCTTGGAATTGGAAATCGTGTGTACCCAAAAGCAAATGCCAAGTCAGAAAGTGAAAAGAGTAAGTTCTTTGAATTAATTTGTATTTTATTAATTTGTTTATCTCTCTCAGCATAAGACATAAACAGTGGCAATCTTACTAGGATCAAGGACATTCAGAAAGGCCAGTTGAAAGTGTTTATAGCTGCTACGACTCCTCTATAAGCTTATGAAAGATCAAAGTGTTWATTTTCTTTTTAAAATGCAAATTTCTGCTGAGTACTCAGCTAGTATGCCTGTTTTGTTTCTGACAGACTTACTTAGAACATGGATGCAAATCTATGAGTATATCTTATTTGAATTCACTTGATTGCCATTGTTATTAATTTTTTGGTGTTGGAGTTTATAATGACAGCGGAAAAAGAAAAAGCTCAGGCGATTTCAGGCTCTGACCTAATTGCTTGGGCAAAACTTTGGTTCAGTTTTCAGAACTTCACAAATGCAGGCTTTGTTTGTCATGGCTTACTCCTCTTCTCTTGTCCCATGTTCCACATAAATGGGAAAACCAGTATGCATCCATCCACTCMCAAATTCATCATGGTTGTGAAGCTGCTTTTGCCTAAACAGAGTGTTGTCCRTTCCTTTATTCTCATGGCTGTGATGTCTGTTTTTTGAATCAGTTTGGGAAAAGATACACAAGTATGTGCTTTYCCTTTGATTACTCACAGAGTTGTGMCACTGATAAGGTCAGGAAGAGTGTGAAGTGGCCAGAGGATGAGAGATAAACATGAGGAGCTCTTGGAGAGAAGCCAGGCTAGATAAATAGCCTGAGCTTGAGGGAAACAACAAACCTCCCTACCAGAACTTTAGGTCCTGTGGGAATTCTCGACATTATAGCATCTTGTAGGGCTAAGATACTGTCTGCAGGAGCTTGATTAATCCAGAGGTACTCTGTACTCTTGCTACAACTACATGCTTCACTTATTGTGAAATAATATTTCAGAAATATTCAGAAATAATAYTAAATGGAAAAGTATTTAAATGCTTAATTCTTTATYAAGATTTTCTTACATTTCCCCCTGYAAAAACTTCTTAGATAAACAGMAATWTTAGCCCTTTTTTCTGTACTTTCTAATGTAAAATAAATAAAAAACGAAGTGTGTAAACCACACTTTGTTAGCATCTTTAATACTAACTTTTCTCCTTTCTCCTTTTCTCTTCCTTTGCTGTCTCTCTTCATCTGGATCCTTATCCATGGTATTTGTCTGCTCTACTTCCTACCTCCTGAATGAATCTGTGATCTTTCAATGTTCTCATTGGTAGTGAGAGCTGAAATGGACYCTAGCTCAAGATCTCAGATATTCTCGGTTTCTTCTGATAAGGGATCCAGCAATGATAACAACTCAAATGATAACAACTCAGATTCTTCCTATGTTCTTGACAGTCAAAATGGGATAGAAGGAAGTCGGTCAGTTATCGGTGAAGATTTATCTGTGGCACAGTATCAAGATGACATTGAGAAATCTGTTCACGTTAATCAAGAYGGCAGCATCACAGTGGAAATGAAAGTTCGATTCAAAATTAAAGAGGAAGAAACCATTAAGTGGACAACCACTGTCAGTCGTGCTGGCCTTTCTGATGACAAAAATATGTCCATTTGCAATTCTTCTGCAATGAATGTGGAAGAGWGCTCATCCAATGTGAATGTATCAGACTGTATAAACCCAAAAGCTGCTCCGTTTTTGAAGAGCTACAATAAAGAGGAAGACTCATTACAGCAATCGAATGAGGAAGTGTCAGACAAAGAATCAAAGTCTGATGTCAAAACTGCTGATTGTAATGACTCTGAGAARAACAATTCTGCAGATTTAGACTTAAGCCATTTACCTGAGGAAAATACCAGGCCTCGTTTTTATAGGCCTCCCACCCCTGGGCCAAGGCGTGTCAGACAAAAGAAAGCAGTGGTTGAAAGTGTCACCTTGGTGGCTGAGAAAGAGGTTCAAGAGAAGACAATAAGACAGGTTTCCTACAGTGAGGAAATAGAGAATGGAGAAAAAACATCTGAGTATTGCATGGTAGCTCATTCAAGCAGAAAAAAATCAAGTGTCTCTAATCCAAAGTTTAATGAGATGAATGACAATGGTTTATTAAAGCTTTCTTCAGAAAAYATAAAAGAAGAAAAAATGCTTTTGAAAGTAAGCCACAAAAGCAGTGAGTTAATAGAAACTGCAAATAGGAAATCATTAGAAGTGCCTGATGAGGATGAATTGGCACAGAATATATTGGAGAAATCAGTCGTGGGACAAGGTGCTTATAGTAGTTTAGTATCAACCTCCAAAACTAATATCAGTGGTTTCATACCATCATCAAAAACTTACGAGACAGCTAGGCCAGGTACAGCRGATCACATCTATAAGTCATGTGAAATTAAACAAATAAAAAGATCAGTGAGTTCTTTCATTACCTATTCAGAATTATGTCAGTCAAAAGAAGAAATAAAATGCCAAGCTGCTGATTTAATAACTGTTTCTCAAGATTCAGTGCACTCAGCCTCTCCTGGACACAGCCAGATGAAGATGGTGGAAYCTCCTACTGAGAAAGTTAATCCGACAAATGGAGTCTTTCCTACTGTTACTGAAAGTGAGAATCAAATCAGTGCCACGACTGAATCTGTGACGATGACACCTATTGATGACAGCCAATCTGTATCATCCCTCACCAAAAAGAAAAAGAAGAAGAAAAGAAATTCATCTAGCTTTATAGAGCAAGATGCATATGAAAATCAAAACCATCAAGAAATTTCAGAGAAAATTAAAAGTGAGGGATTGTATACCACACAGGATTCTACAGAAGAGGCTATGGATAAACATTCTGAAATGCCTCAGCAAAAAGGATCTGAACAATCTGTAAAAACCAATTCAGACAAATGCCTATATCCTGAAGATGAGTTGCATCACCAGGATTCAGTGGAGCAAAATGGATCATCATCATCTAATAAAAAGAAAAGAAGTAATAACAAGAAGCTGGCCAAGTTAAAATTGACGTCAGGCAAAAAAAGTAGCATCGTGAAGAGTGAAGATGGYCTAATGACAGTGGAGTCAAACAACGTATCTGAGCACAGTCAGGATATACTTAGTGCTGAGAAARAAGGCACACATCTTATAACCAGTCCTGTCAAACAAACACCTAACTCATCAGTGACTTCAAAGCCAGTGCCAGAAGTGCCAAGCAATCTTAGCTTTGAAAAACAAAAGGAAAAGAATAATTTGGAACATTCGTCATCAAAGAAAGAGAAGAAACAAAAGACAATGAAGAAAAATCTAAGTAAAGGTGTAAATAAGATAAATTTGTCAAAGGGTGCCATTACACTAGAGGCTCTAAGCCACGGGAGTTTTCAAGAGGAGGTTGAACATTCACGTGAGAGMTATGTCCAAACTTGGCTGAAAAACTCTTTATCAAATTCTGTCTTACCCCCTATAAAGAAAAAAGGGACTGTAGACAGTTCMTTTTCTAAAGAAAACACTGATGCTTCTATAGATGAAGAAACTAGATTTATCACAAATAATGTGCATATTAGTGGAAAAAACCATCTGCTTGAAGATAATCTAACAAAAAACCCATTAAAACCTATTGGTAAATTGAGAATTTCAGAAGATTCAGACAAGGASTCAAGTGAGAGACAAACTGGGTCTTTCATTCATTCAAATACATCTATTGTAGAAAAAGCCAAGTATTCACTAAAGTCAGAATTTCATCAGAACGCTGAGCTACATTTGTTTCATGAAGCACRTGACAACGATAAAAAGTTGGCAGAAGTTGATGTTCAAGTTACCAACCTATGTCAAAGAAAAAAATCTGAAGTTGCTGTTCAAGCTGATTGTACAATTGTTAGTGAGAAATTTGGAATTGATGTTCAGAATAATTGCATGTCCAGCATGTTGCTGCATGAACTACAATCAACTTTGCTTGGTCTGCAGAATAAACACAGTGGATGTATAGGAAAARCTTGCAGCTTTTCAGATCTTTCTCCTTCAGCTTTTGGCTCTTCCTCCAATGCTCTTCTAGCCTGGCTACTGTTACTGAATCTGAGAGAGAGTTTGATTGGGACAATCACAGATGATATGCAAAAAAATGCCTGTAGCTGTTCTGAAATGTTTGCACAGTTAAAATGTCTGAAACAAAATGCCGTTATAGAACAAGCAGATGAGCTGAAARCTGTCGTCTCACATCTCCAACAATCAACAGAAAATAAGTTATTACACTTTAGGAAGGAACYTGAAAAGCAGGACACCACACATGAGAATATGCCTATATCTGAAATTCATAATTGTATACATTTGCATGAACAAGAAGAATCAGTTGAGCCTTGTGTTGCAATGGACATTGTCAATTCKGAAGAAGCTCTAAAATTAACTGGAGAATCAGAAAGATGTTTTGATACAGAGAAGGATCTTTGTAAAGAAACAGAGACTTCAGACATTATTGCCCCCACAACACAGCTAGATGGTCACTATGCCAATACTAATTCAAATAYTTGTAGCCCTCCATCAGCTATAGAGACATCAGAAAGAAATGAAGAAATGCCTGATCGCCTGAATGAAAAAACTCAAGGTAAACCCATTGATATGTCATCCATTAATGAAGAGTCAGAATCTTCAGTAGAACCTAACTCCACAGTTCATAGTATAACTTCTAATGATAATAATTRTATTTTAGATCAGGATACTTCTGAGTTAGAAGGTGAGAAGGATAATGTACCTGTAAATACTGATAAAAGTGAAGATGAGTCTGTTGATCCAAAGTCAGTAGACACTGACAAAACCCCAAAAAACCAAATTACGCTAGATGCAGAAACCTCTTTAGAATATAATAATGAGGATTTTTCTATACAAGATGACAAGGAAGATGCAGAAATATCTGAAGAAACCTCYGAGAGGTTATCTACAGTCTCTCCATTATCATTTCGTTATGATTCGAAGCAAATTAATGAATGTGACATGACCGAAGGAGAACAGAAATTGCAAGTAGAGGAACTGGAGAATAAAATGTGTTCCGACGCTTCTCAATTAAAAAAATGCTTGAAAAGTCCTGCTACTTCGGACTTGTCAGATTACAGACCAGATACTGAAGAGAGTGATAAYAACCGTAGGGAATCCAGTGACTTGACCAATGAAAGTGGAGAGGAAGCACTTGAAAAACATTATAATACTGGCTATGTAAAGAGAACTATTGAACGACTCTATGGCAAGACAGAAGCTTCATTTAAGCCTGACTTTCACAAAGGATTTCCTTATATGTCAAAAGCATTTCAAACAGATACTGAAGGGTTCCACTCTGCAGTGGGGGAGAAAATAATTTATTTTTCTCAAGAGCCTATGTCTTATTCTGCAGAGAAATTATCACATTCTTCACTACCATCMCAAGAACATCCAGTAAACAAAGATAACAGTATATCGAGAAGAGAAAATACTCCTTTACCAACACCACAATCTACTCTTAACAGAGAAGAGACAAGTTATRCTAATGATGGTTTAGGGGAATCTCCAAATCACCCTTGTCAACCTAGCATTCAAGYTAGTGAAGATGAAGGAATATTGATAGATAAAGGCAAATGGCTCCTGAAAGAAAATCATTTGATAAGAAGATCACCACCAGAACAGACTGGAATGTATGGTAATTTGGAAACAACATCAATGGAAAGTGATGAAGTTCCATACTCTCACTTTGGCCATCTGGATCAGTACCCCGCTCTTGATGAGATTCCTTCTTCAGAACTTGAAGACATGGTTAAACCCCCTGAAAATTTCTGCAGTTATTTCAATATGCCTCATAATAGTGATTCAGACCCCTTTCAGGATGAGTTAAATACAAAAGGCAGACCTAGTCGCAATGGTAAGATCCTTCCTGCAGAAAACATCGAAAAGACCAATCCATCAGCCAGGGTAGGTTCTSCTTCCACACAGGCTGACACCAATTTTCCAGCCTTTTCATCTGTAGAATTTAGATTGCCTGATAACAAGGTGCATCCATTGGAAAAGCCTTTAAATGCTGTGCCCATAGAGTCTCAGCCAACTGCTGTCARTAATGTCAATAGAAGCGATCGTCACGAAGAAGATTCTCTGGACAGACTCCATGCTATATGTGGCCAACATTGTCCAATACTGATGGTAACAGTAATACCAATTAATGAGGAACAGAGAGGATATGCCTACCAAAAGGCATCTGATATTGAAAACCAGCTGGGTCTATATTTGCTGGCCAAAAAGAGAGGATGTTTTGAATGGTCAGGTCAAGACCTGACAGACAAAAAGAATAATGTGACTTTGAAGAATAACTCTATCAATAAGATTGCCAATAATATTTTTAATAGGTTTTATGCTGACAACACCTTAGATTTTATTARTAACTTTGGAATACTTGCATCCTCAACTCTGAAAGAAACAAATAATTTAGGGGAATTACACATTACAGAGGATATGAATATCAACCCAATGGAAGTCAGAAATTGTCAAAATAATGTACCCAGACATCTACCTGGTGATCTTGTCAGAGGCACAAATACTGGGCTACCCAATGGAAAGACAAAAATATGTCAAACCTTAAGAATAAATTTCATTTATATTGTTGGAGAAAAATTTTCTCCCATGTTGGCAGATCCAGCAGAAACCTGTCATTCTGAAACATTTTTGAAATGTGACACTTCCTTAAACAGCATTGAACAGAAAGCCTCTGAAAATCTGAAAAACAAAAATGCCTTTCCTACAGAAGRAGAAGAAAAGGAAGAAGAAGTTTGCTTTTATACAATGAAAGATGGAAACCATAAAGATAAGGAAGAGTTGTAATTTCTATAACATTAGATTTGTGAAAACATCTTCAGAAAAAAAAAATCACAATCACATAATAAACTGCTGAGTGGTGTAACCAATAAAACTCCCCATGAAATACCTAGATAAACATGAGTCACAATTGTATATCAGTGCTGAAATACAAAYATTAATTAAATTTTTATGGGTACCRTCATAKGAARAAAATTTGTTCTAAGATTATGATTTCTTGACTAGAAAACAGTTCTTCCCTGAAATATTATCTGTTAAGAGGTAGTTATATACCGATCTTCTAATTACAGAGAAATGACAGCTGCTTCTTTGAACAGAGAACTGAAATTTGAAATACCTGCWGAAGTTTTAAGACAAGATTTCTATATTTCATGACATTTGAGAAGGAGCTTGAAAAATGCCTTTCAGTCGAAATGCTTTTGCCAGAACAAAATCAACTGATATGTTGAATCTGAAATGAAAAGTAGGAATTACTACTCAAATGCTATAATACAATAACAGTAGGAAACATAAATCATGTTAACTTTATATAGATTTACATTATCAAATTGCTATTTTGGTTTTTGAAGGCCAGCTGCAGAAYATGTGAGTGAAGAGATTTTTCCATCCATTTGGGGGATCCGGACACCAAATAAAGTTGGCCTCTTTAGCCCAGAGAAGGGTCATATTTAGAAACTGAGGATRGAGAGAACTGCTTTTCAATGGACTYCCTGACTGCTCTTGCCATATTTCCTTCTGAGGCAGCACTACTTACTCTTAAAATTGTTCTATATACACTACAAATTTTAGTTGTATGTTCTTACTTAACCTATGTACTTTAAAGATTGTCTATGTGTTTGTGTGTTCTTTTATTTTGTTTTGGTTTTGTTTTTTGTTGGGKKTTTTTTGGTTGTTTATTTTTATTTTTGTAAATATATTGTATTTTGAGAATCCAAGGCCCATGTAATATGTTCCAGGATCCTTCAATCTGTTACTAGAGTTATTTTGGATACCCATTTACAGCATTTTTTTAATACAGTATGTGTGTAGTAAGCATTTGTATATGGTTTACAATTTTGGGTAAATGATGTAAGAAAAATATTTAACGTATATTGAGTGGCTGCATTTTTTGGCTAGGTTTTAACCCTTAATACTGCATARTACCTCGCTTCAATGTCAGTGAATTCAGAGATATACCTGGAAAAAGCAGGTGCCACTTTTCAGGTAGACAATGAGAATTTGCCATTCTGTACTCTTGAAGGCTGTGTCTAGAATAATGTACATGCTGTGATAAGCCCTGGGTCATGATCCTTTGATTACCCAGATTGAGGACCTAATAAAAGGCTGACGCAAATTCCTCTTGGCCCAGAGGCTTTGATTGTGCCCATGTGGGACAGAAGGCACGTGGAGGGGAAGTAGAAGTTGGATGTGAAGCAAAAGGGGTTTGTAGCACAGGTAGGAAACCCAGAAGCATTTTCCAGCTCCTTTTAGAAGTTCAGGGGCTGATATATTTCCCCCTAAGTAACTATTATGTTTCTGTTTTTTGAAGCGGTGTATTCTATGTAATAAACTGATGTTATAACTCTGAGGCAAGATGTGTTGTGTCATATATTTCACACCAAATAGCTGTGTGTTATTTTCTATGTTGGCCTTGTTTCTGATGTTCTTYTGTCCATCTCCACTTCTTTTGCTGTCCTCTTCCATGTTTTAGACCCTCTCCAAGTGAAGAATCTCAGTGGTATTTTTTCATCCCTTTACATSTCAATACAGAATTAAACCAATGTTTGGAAAGTGCAGAATCCATCTGAATGTCCTATAATATTCTGTGTACCAAGCTTCTGTGCTGTAAATAATGTCTAAGTGTTAGACAGGAAAATTAACAGCTATTTAAGTCTCCATCACTCACAGTCTTTCTGGTGGATTCACAGCAYCTTAACTTTTCCAGATCAAGGTTCAGGAACCTTTAATCAGATGCTTATTACTGAGTTACAGAGAGTTACTGAGCAAACTAAGCACTCAAAACATGAAATGTGAGGTACTCCCTTAGGTTACAATTAGCAGAGACCACAGCAAGTGGTGAAATGGATATTAACAGAAAGACTTGGTTCTGATTTCTGTATGTTAACTGAAAGAGAAGGAATAAAATGGTCACCTCAGAGTAGGACAGAAGGCTGACAGTGRGATGTGCCATACTGACATAGGGTTTGTATATTCCTTAATGGTACAGGGAAGATCAGAGATTCATGGAATCACTTAGGTCCTCTGAGTCCAGCCATTAACCCAGCATTGCAAAGTCCTTCATTCAGCCAGGGCCCCAGATACAATATCTGCACATATTTTAAATACCTCCAGGGAAGGTGACTCAACTCCTTCCATGGACAGCCTCTTCCAATGCTTGACAGCCCTTTCAGTGAAGAAATTTTTCCCAACATCCAATCTGAAATCTGATCTAAACCCTACCTGGTGCAGCTTGAAAAAAAGACAGAGAATATTAAATGTCTGAGATATTCAGATAAAAGAAAATTGCTTTCATTAGGTAAGATTGGTGAAAGCTGAAGAGAGAACCTCACAATTCTGGTGATTAGAACAACATACTGATTGACAGGGGCAAAGCCACCATGAGGAGTAATGTGAGCTACTTTACTAGGATTGAAAATAATTCAGCAAGTGTTCAAGGCATTTATGTAGAGTATGCCACACTTGTGGAAGGATTTCAGTTTTTTCTTGTCATTATTAAAAAAAAGACAGCTAACATAACATATAAATCAGGAAGTCTCAATTTATCTAGTTTAGCCGCTTGCTAGAAGGAAACTACACAATTAGGTAAGTAATTCAATTAATTTAATTCAARTAATTTAATTGCTAAATCTAATTTTAAGYCTTTGTCTCTGTAGTCATCACAGTCACCAGACAGATGTTCTAGAGCTTGAGTCCTTCCTTCTTCTGATATCTGTCTTAAATGTTTTCTAGTTTCCATCCTCTGCCTACTTTATATGAGTGGGTCCCAATGCCATCACTTTAATTTACTTTTTCCTCCTTGGTATCTATCAATAAAATCAGACATTCTCTCAGCTTTTTCTTTTCCCCATTTCCTCCAATCGTCATGGTTTTAGCCTCTGAAATGCATAAGGCATATTTCCCTTAATTCTAAGGATATCAGAGGAAAGGAAGATAATTTAATTGTTCAATGTATCACTATTAAACAAGTAACTCGATTTTTATAGTTCTAGTTGCAAAAAAATATCATTAATAGCAATGTTAATCTGCTGTTATCATGAGTCATGGGAATATTTGATGCAGTTTTCTTTCTTTATGCCATGGATTAACCTCAACCAGAACTGAGCCCCACTCAGCTGCTTGCTTGCTTCCCCACCAGCARKACTGGGGAGAGTAAAAGAGAAAACTCTTRGGTTGAAATAAAGACAGTTTAATAGGTAAAGCAAAAGGCACACACAYGAGCCAAGCAAAACAAGRAATTCAATCATCAGCTAATTTCAKCTATGGAGAAAGAAGATTGCAGCAACTTTTGAGGAGGTTCACACTGCTCTGTTGATGGAAAATTTGTTTCTGTAAGTTACTTCTCCTCATATCTCACAGTTATTGTTTTTTACTTATTTGTTCAGTTTAATACGTTCAAGCCATTACAATTCTGGAATTGATAAAATTTAACTTGTTCATATCCTCAGTGATATCATTTCCCTTAATTCCTTTCCATTGGTACTTAGCTTCCATTGAATGAATGGTTTGTGTTGGAAGGGACATCATGACCCATCTAGTTCCAACCCCCTGCCATTGTCGGGGACAGCTTTCACTTGACCAGTTTACTCAGAGCTCCATCCAGCCAGGCCTTGAGCACTTCCAGAGATGGGGCATTCACAGCTTCCCTGGTCCACCTGTTCCAGTGCCTCACCACACTCCCAATAAATTTTTTTTCCCTAATAGATAATCTAAACCTGTCCTCTTTCTGTTTGAACCATTCTCCCTTGTCATGTCACTATATGCCCTTGTAAATAGTCTCTCTCCATCTTTCCTGTAAGCTTCCTTCACTGGAACGCCACCCAGAAGCCTTCTCTTTTCCAGGCTGAGTAAACCTGATTCTCTCAGCCGTTCCTCTGAGGAGAGATGCTTCATCCCTCTGATCATCTTGCTGGCCCCCTCTGGACTTTCTCCAGCAGATCAAAGCCCTTCCTGTGCTGGTAAAAGTTCAGCAGCTTCTAAACAAGCTGTTCCATCTGTGTAGCTAATCACACCTTTGCAGAGATACAGATCCTTTCATAAACAGTTCTTTTCCAGCAGAGCTAATTTGCTTTCAGAGTCCCTTATATTTAAAGTGATGAGTGTCAAGGCTGTCATTACATAGCACTGCATTGAGCAGAGCTGATAGACCCTAAGTAAACAGAACCCCATATTTAATACAATTTAATACAATATTTCAAAACTGTGTTTGAAAGGTGATCTATGTTCATGCAAATTTGACTTGGTCATGTAGGAAATGTAGARTAAAAGATATGAATGCAACCTGACATTTCTTGACATACCTAATATAGCAAACTCAATATTTGCCTGCTGTAATTTAGTGAAATGCATATTTCTGTATTCATTGACATGCTATTATTTAGAATTTTGATTACTGAAATGCATTTTATTTAAGAATCTTGAGTTTAAGTAATTCAGTGAGTCTTTTTATCTTTTGATAGCTAGGAAATGGAATGTGTCAGTCCTCAGCAGTGATGTGCCATCCTCAGGAACAAGCTCAAAGGTTTATATTACATTGTATGGGGATTGTGGCAGTTTGGGTCCTATTTTTCTTGATGGAGGGAAGGGAAAATTATTTCAGAGAGKCAATGAAGACATCTTCACAGTAAGTAATATATATTCATTGTGCTGCCCTCTTGCATCCTGCCAGATCGCATGACATTTCAAACTCTATGAGATGAAAAGGCAGCTTTTTGTATTTTATACATATCTAGAAATGAGAAACAGGACTTAAACGTAGAGCTAAATTTAGTATCCCTTCCCACTC